ACTTACAACTGAATAACAACCCAACTGAAAAATGGGAAAAGATGTGAACAGACATTTCACCAAAGAAGATACACAAATGGTCAACAAGCATGTGAACACATGTACCACACCATTAGTCACTAGGGAAGTACAAGTTAAAACCAATGAGATACCAATGCAAATCCACTAAGCTAGCTACCAAAAAACAAACAATATAAGTGCCAGTAAGGATGTGGAGAAACTGGAACTTCAAACATCGGCAGAATGTAAAATGGTGTAGCCAATCTGAAAAACAGTTTGTACATTTCTTTTTATTATTATTGTATTTTTTTGACAGGGTCTTACTGTGTTGCCCTGCCTGCCTTCCAGTCAAGTAGCACACGATCAATGTTGTTACTTACGACAAAAGACCAGCACAGGTGGAGAGAGCAGACAGCCTCCGTAAGTTCAGAAAATAAAATCAGTTGCACGGGGCCAAAGTCTAGAAACCAGCACTGAGCAGGAAGAGAAATAGGGCCCAGGTGTGTGCACAGGTGTCAGAGCCCGATCCCCACTGGGCACAGAGGCGGTTTGGGAACACGGGGTGACGTTCCGCAGAGGGTGGCATCTGAACAGAGTCCATCCCTGTCTCACAGGTAACATCAGTGTCATCATAGCTCACTGCAACCTCAAGCGATCAATCCTCCTGCCTCAGCCTCCCGAGGAGCTGGGACTATAGGTTCACGACACCTCACCTGACTAGTTTTTCTGTTCTTGCAGAGATGAGGTCTCACTCTTGCTCAGGCTGGTCTTGAACTCCTGGCCTCAAGTGATCCTCCTGCCTCAGCCTCCCAAACTGCTAAGATTACAGGCTTGAGCCATCGTGCCTGGCATGTCAATTCCTGAAGTTAAAACATAAATTTACCACACAGTCCAGCAATTTCACTCCTAAGAATCTATCCAAGAAAAATGAAAACGTATGTTTACACAAAGATTTGTACCTGAATGCTCCTAGCAGCATTATTCATAACGGCCAAAAACTAGTAACACAAATGTCCATTAACTGGTGAACGGATAAACAAAATGTGTTATATATCTATACAATGGAGTATTATTCAACCATAAAAAGGAATAAAGTACTCATTCATGCTACGGCCTGGATGAGCCTTGAAAACATAGTGGTAAGAGAAAGAAGCTGGATGCAAAGGACCACACAGTGTATGATTTCATTTAGATGAAATGTCTAGAAAAGGCTAATCTATAGACAGAAAGTAGGTAACTGGTTGCCAGGAGCTGGGTGGGGACCAGTAGATGCAATTGGGCATGAGGGATTTTTTTGGCATAATGGAAGAATTTTCAAATTAGACTGTGGTTGCGTTTGGACAACTCTGTAAATTTACTAAAAATCACTGAACTGTACACTTAAATGGGTAACTTTATGGTATGTAAATCATATTTCATTAAAGGGAGGGGGAGAGAGAGAGGGAAAGTAAAAAAGCATGAATGAGCACGCGGGGAAGAGAAAACTTGAGTACCTGAGGTCAAAGGCAATACAGGTTAGCTGAGTAAGGACCATTTAACAACCTTTTGTAAGGAAGGAGTGTAGAGGTCAAACATGATGGCAGCATATAGCTTAACTAACCAGCCCTTTTGAACAGTGCAGCAGCTGTAGGTATTTATACATTTTGTCAGTAAGTTCCCGGCTTGCCAACTGTTTCACCTTTAGGAACAAATGTTCCAAGCTAGTGGCATCCACAGTGCTGGAATGATTCTAGCAGTCTCCTCAGGGACACTCCTATTAACTAAGGAACTAGGCAAGAGACTAAGAAACTCATTAAGTGGGATGAATCTATATATTATAGGTTTTATAAGACACCTATAATTTTTTTATTATGGGTTATATAAGAAAATGGGAATGAACCCCTAAGCAAGAAGGATCAGGATTCAGAATGCCTACCTGAACCAGAGATTATCAGAATAACTTGCCTCCATGGTCCTGATATTTAATTCAATTACAAAAAGCAGAGATAATGTACTAGAATTGGGGGGCCTCTTTTCTTGCATCCTATTTTTCAATAAAATTCCTTAAGGATGAAAAGATAGCACTGAGAGGAGAATCAATTAAGCACTAGATTCTGTGTGAAATTCTTAGTTCTAGGAAGACTCTTAAAGAAACAAGGAGAACCCAAATTCTCTTCAATTTGAAATTCAAGATGTCTCAATGAGACATCTTAGGTGTCAGAGTGATCTCCATGTCTGGGGTAAAATTAAATTTGTGAATAACTGCTTCAAGTGTACTTTAATCACAGGAAAGTTTCTGAAGAAAAACCTAACTTCCCTTCACTGAACAAAAGCTCTCTAATTATAGCCCATCCTCTACACACGTGTGTCTAGATGGAAGTGGGAATTCCGCAAGGGGGCATTTTCCTTAACCCTGTTACCAAATCACAGATGCCGTGCTCTCCTTGCTTCAGCACAGACTCCTCTGGATTATATTACTGAGTATGTCTTCAAATAGGACCCAGTGCCAAAGGTGAGCACCTGCCATCTCCGTCTTGTGACTGGCAGAGAAAAATGGCTGAGAGCCCTGCTATTATACTGTTTTAACAGACAGAAAACTTCTGTTAATAAGGTGGCTGTAAAGCAGTGGTGCCAAACCTGATCCACTGTGCTCAATTACAGGGAGCACGTAAACATCCTTCTTTGGATGGAGTTCTAAGTGATTTTTATGGCTGTATCCCCTTCCCTTTTCAACTTAAAATACACACAAAACACAAACCAAAAATACAGGGCAGGGGAAAAAAGATTAAGCTTCCTCAGAAGCTTGGTGGTGTAATCACAGTTTTACAGACTGTTATTTCTGCCTTTCCTTCTTTAAAATGTTATCTTTCTCACTAAAGGAATATTTCTAATCAAAAGGAGAACAACTCTATCTTGGTCTTAACTGTGTAGGATTACACAAAGATAGATCCAGGAACAGAATCCAGGAGCCATGGTCATACACACATAACTGAAGATCCTGACTCCTCCAAGCCTTATAGCAGGAGGAAAACAGTGCCTTGTGGATCACTTACACAAGGGTCTGTTACCCCACACTGCCCTACAGTATGCATTAAAGACATTCAACACACAATAAAGTCTGACATATGCCTACAAGTGCATCTCTTGTAGAATGGGACAAGGCAATGAGTCTAAGAAGGTGACCTTGTTGCTGGCAAGATTGCTGATTATGACACAAACATCCCCTACCCCAAGTTTGGCTAGACTGACCTCCCTCCACAGGAGCCAGCTGGCAGGTGCTACTGAAGTGGAAGACAGAATAAACAGGCGCTGAGGCTGGCCAGACATGGTCTGAGGCCAGGATTCCAGCCTAGAGCTGCCAGAGTTGGTCAAGAAATGCATTGGTTCAAAGATGGCAACTCTCTCTCTTTTTTAAAAACAAGTAGGTGCCCCTACTCACCCTCACCCCCAAGTTTCCTTTGATTTGAAGACTCTCAAACCCTAGAGATTCCCTTTTTCAAAGAGACTCTAGTCATAGAAGTGAAAGACATCTGAAAGTTTCAACCTACTAAGAAATTCCTATCTCAGGATAAAGAGGAGCACCAAATTTAAATGTAAGCATTTAAATTTCTCTTTATTGATAGAAATTAGTAATTTACTACCATTTTTGAGCACTAACTATGTATCAGGAAGTAACTCAAGTGTGGAATGAACCCCCCCCTTTTTAATGAAATAGATTGCAGGTTCCATGACTAAGAGAGTAAGGGGCTAGCTAGTGTGTAGGAAAAGGGAATTTAGGACTGAAAACGGCTTAAAAGTCACATAATATGACTAAATAATTTACTGTACAAACTGGGACACTTTGGGGAATGAAAGGTCATTATTAACACGGATGCTAGGACAACAGGGGTAACTAAGACTGTCCCAGCACACTAGGACATAGAGTCACCCTACTAGAGAATGTCATTCTCTACATAATATTCTTCAATGATTTCCTATCACTTCAGAATGAAGTTTACACCACAGTCTCATCCCTGTAACTTGAGCATGTAACTCAACTATAACATCTATCACACTAGATGAGGACTGGTGATTTTATGTCTTCCAACCCCTACCACCCCAGTCTGCTAACTCAAGGGAAAGAGTCTATGTCATGGGCCTTGATGCTCAGTAAATACGGCGGCTGGACTCAATGGCTTAGTAAATTTCATGGTTGTTCATCCTCCATCCAACACAATATCATACGGCAGATTTCTCTCCATCCATGCTTTTTCCACCTATATTCCGTATTTTCCAGTTGTCACCTCATAGCTATGTGACTTTAGGCAAGTTATTTAACCTCCCTGTGCCTTAGTTTACTCACCTATATAATGTGGTTAAGAATAGTATGCATGTCAAAGAATTATTAGGAACATTGAACAATATTTAGTCTTCAGAGTAAACACCCAGGAAGGTAGAAATCTTTGTCCCTTTGGTAACTGCTGTATGCTCACACCAGGAACAAACAAGTCTGGCAGGGCAGTCACTAAGTATGCTCAAAGTTTAATGAACACATACTTCTCTCTTCTGTTTTTCTCCAATCCCTCACTTTGCCTCACCAGTGTCACATCCTCTATATCCCACACACCATCTCCCCAAAAAACCCGGCACAATTCTCTTACCATTTAAAATGGGACACTGATAACTATCAAACTTTATCTGCCAGCAGACAAAATACTTTACCTAAATAGACTAAATCATACCCCTGAGTTTCCTGCCTACCACTTGCTCAATTTTAAGGACAGACAGTGACTGATGGTTGGGGAACAGTTCCAAAAGCTACAATAAGTCTAGGACTGCATATGGGAGCTAACCATCAAGATCAAGGCTGGGAATAAGAAAAGATTACTACCATTTTGTGTTTTCACATTTAAGAAGAAAGGATAACTACTATAAGTATATACATTCAAACACGCTGTATACAAAGTTACAAGTGCTGTAAATCATAAATAATAATACAAACCCAGCTTTTTAAAAATAGAATTTTACAAAAATAAAATTACCTAAAATTAAGCCCACCATTGTACTTAAATATCCGGTTCCACTTCCCAGGTTAAGAAAAGACAATCCTGGCTGAAGTTTCAATGCTTCCATAACTTCAGAATAAATGCAAGGTGCTGACAAGTGGATGTTTCCATGCTTCCAGGCTAAGTCTTTGTAAGCATTGTCTCTGTAGCCTTCCAGATAGTAATCTCCACGATCAATAGCTCTGAAGGCTTGCTCCACTCTTTCAGTGCGGATATACTGCGCTTCTTTTAAGTTATCAATTAAGTCATCATTATCTTCCCCAGCACTCACAGCTCCTCCCATGATAGTATTCAAATCAAATCATAAATTTTAAAATGTAATAAAATTAGTAGAAATAGCTTCCAATATTGCACTTGATTTCCAAAAATAAATTAATCCTGGAAGGGAAGAATAAAAACAGGTTTAAATTAACGCTCAAAAGGGAAATAATTTCAGTTTGTTAAATAGATGTCAATATAATTAAGTACCATTTCTCAAGGACATATTCTGCTCCAGGCATAGGGTTAAACTCCTTAAGTATATTATTTTATTTAATTCCTATAACCACAAAAGGTAGCTAAAGTATGATTGGTCTGTACAGATGGGAAAAACTGGGACACAGAGAAATCACTAGTACTGTGAGGCCCATTATGGTGGCCACTAGTCACACATGGCTACCTAGATCTAAATTAATTAAAATTAAGTACAATTTAAAATTCAATTAGTCAACCTAGCCACATTTCAAATGCTAAATAGGTACTAGTGTGGCTAGCGGCTGCCATACTGGACAGTGCTGCTCTGGAAAGTGGCACTGCTGGGACTTAGTCCCAGGTCTTTCAGATTTAAAGACCATGCTCTTAATCACTAAATGACATGGCTTCCTTATAGTAATGCTAGTTTAATAAGCAATTAGTTGACTGATTTAAAATTCCTGAACTTAAAAATTGCTAACAATTCTAAAATGCACTACATAAATTTAAGACGTTAATACAAATGTATTATCCAAACACTGAATAAAAAATACAAAAAGAAAAAACCCAGACCTACATGTTTAATACATACACATTAGGACTGTTGTTTGGTAAACCTTGTCGTGATAAATAATGAGACCACAAATTTTATTAACAACTTTTAATAGTCCAAGTACTAGAACATGTTTTATACACACACACACACCCCTCCACATACAATGAACTTTAACAGATTAAGCTCAGCATTTTCAAATGTAAACATAAGTGCAACTTGATAAACTAAAGAATTTCAACACATAATACTGAATATACAATTTAAGCTTTATTCACCTATGGTTAAGTAAACATGTATCAATTTCTGAATTAATACATTAGGAGAGGAAGAAAGTGAGAAATGAAATACCCACGGCCAAAAACAAGAGTTATGAGAACTAACTCTGGCAAGGCTGTACCCTCAATATGACTTCAGAGAGGAAAAGCCATCGGGGCCTGGAGCCTCCTCAGACCCCTGGCACTAGCTCAGCAGAGCCTGTCACACTGTCTTCTGTCTGTGCCCTCTGTCCTTTTCCTACGATCTCCTTAAGAACTGTCTGAATAAATACTGTTAACACACACTACACACATATTTTATTCAAACATGCTTATACAAAATTGGCTGGTTCTGCTTCTCTCCAGCACAAAGAAAGAAATAATTTTAGAAGCACAAGGGCTTACAGCACCCTTCTCCTCAATGAGTGTATTTTGCAGCATGTAGTACAATGGGAGATGTCAATCCGCTATTCTTTAGGTCTTAATTTTGGCATCCTTCTATAGCTCAAGCAACTCAATTTGCTAATGTCACTTCTAGCATTTCAAGTTTGTTGTTGTTTTAATAACATGGCCTCTAAGCACAAGTCAACTTTTTCACCTGGTACCCAAAGAATGACTCTCTTCCTATAGTGAAAGAAAAAACGGCTACACCAGACTGGGAGATAGTCTGTATCAGTATCCAGTGACCTGGTAAGGATTTCATAAGAGTAATTTTGACCACAGACAGATGTTTAACATATTGCTCTATTGTAAATGCCACAATTTGCTAGTCTGAAAAATTATTCCCCTATAGTGTTGGTTCTAGGGCTTAATAAGGACCTGACCTTCGTAGGTCCTTACGAACTCCATTCTATTCAAAATTATCATAGCAAAACAATCAATCAAACATCATCTTTATTACTTAACTCACATTCCTGGTGAGAAAAAGGAAAGAGGAAGAATCAACTAAGCAAAAACTACCACCGTTTACTGATACTGTACTGTGTTATTTGTATATTATCTCATTAAAAATTACAATAAGCCTATGAGAAAGGCATTGTTATGCTCAATTTCAAGTGAGAAACCATCTGTAAGGGGTAGAGTAGTTAGTACAATGCACAGGAGTCTAGAGGAACCCAAAGAGGAAACTGGATCCAGGGATCAAGGACAGCTTCCCTAAAGGCACAACACAATGCAAAACAGTTAAAGGAGTGGGGAACTCTAAGCTGAGGAAACAGCTGGTCCTGAGTCAAGAGAATAGATGGTGCCTTTGAGAAACTACCTATAGCTGAGCACTTGTTAGCACCATAACGGCCTTTATCTTGTAGGCCCAGTGATTTCTTTTTTTTAGCCTGGACCCTTTTAAGAATCTCAACAAATTTATTAAAAACTGAATGAATCAGCCTTCTGAAGTTTCAGAAGACTCCTTAACTCCTAGAGACACAGGAGTCCATTCTAATTTAAGGAAGTCTACTATAGGCAACAGAGAGCCCATCAGAAATTTTAACAAGAGCAGGACAATTCCAATTCCATCTTAGAGGGTGTATCCTGTGTGGTATAATCTGTATACAGAAAGACCTGTTTTCAAACCTACAGCAATGGACCTGAGAATCAGGTTTTTTTAAACACACTATTGGTATGATACTGTATACAGTATTCAGGACTTTCACTTAATAAATCTTAAGCATTTCCTCTTGCCATGAAATATTCTTCCAAAATCCAAAGAAATGATATTCTACTGCTGTACAGACCAGGATGTGATCAATCCCCTGTCAGACAAGAGGATTTTGAATTGATTGTAATGGAGGTACACTTGAGGAGCTTGTAAATTAAAATTTGTAGTGAACATTCTGGTAATTTAATAATAATCCTCTCACTTGAAATATACATAATTTTTTATGAGAGTAAAGCAACCAATATTAAAAGGCCAGGCCGGGCGCAGTGGCTCACGCCTGTAATCCTAGCACCCTGGGAGGCCGAGGCGGGTGGATTGTTTGAGCTCAGGAGTTCGAGACCAGCCTGAGCAAGAGCAAGACCCCATCTCTACTAAAAATAGAAAGAAATTATGTGGACAACTAAAAATATATAGAAAAAATTAGCCGGGCATGGTGGCATATGCCTGTAGTCCCAGTTACTCGGGAGGCTGAGGCAGGAGGATTGCCTGAGCCCAGGAGTTTGAGGTTGCTGTGAGCTAGGCTGACGCCACGGCACTCACTCTAGCCAGGGCAACAGAGTGAGACTCTGTCTCAAGAAAAAAAAAAAGCCAGCACAGGAGCGGATCATGAAAGTGTTTGCGATTTGCTAATTCTGAGATAATCTCATCGTAATCACAGAAAACTACCAAATACAAGTCAAGAGACCAAGGTCCAGCCTTGGTTCCATAGATAACTTTACTGTATGGATCTGGGTAAATCTCCAGAATGTCATTTTCTCATCTGTGAAATGAAAAGGCTATATTCTACAACTTCTAAGGTCCCCAGAGCTCTATGCCATTTTCAGCATCGGCCAAACCTGTATTTGAATACAGTGAAAGTTTTAGTTATCTAGGAATGGCTGTCCATGCCCTCGGCATTTCTGTTACTTTGGTCACAATTTTTACTGCCCCATTCCTGCCACCTTTTTCTCCACAGAGAAGAGACAATTTTAGGAGTGTTCAAGTCCTGCATTATACAATAATGGAAAGTAAGGAATCTAAGAGAAAGCAGAAAAGGAAAAGACAGAAAAGAGAAAGCATCAGAGTAGAATAAGGGACAGAATAGCTTAAGCAGTCGTGTCTGTTTGAGAAGGAAATCATCATATTTATTCATAAAACACACCTTCGCTCCTTGGCATTTTCTGTCTAATGTGTGTTGGAGTTGGGGGTAGAAAATAGAGGACACATTCACATATACATATCTGAAATAATTTGCAAGTGTTCCAAACGTTTCTTGCTATTCTTCCAAAATGTAGAGTTGTGGCTTAAATCTGTTTGTTTTAGGGAAGAACTGCTGAAGATCCCATTCAGTGTTACAGTGTCTTTTAGGCAGCTTAGTGGAGGGTTAAGTGCTGACAAGTCAAAGGAGGTGAGAAGCAGACAGATGGCAGGCAGATGTTACAGAGTGGAGGGAGAACAGAATGCATGCTGGCTTCCCTCCTGACACCCAGAGAGGAGCAGCCAATTGCTCCTTGCTGCTCCTTTCTCTGTCAAAGTGAGGACAAAGCTTACCCAGCTCTGGGGGAAAGCTCATTCACCAATGACCCAAAGGAGAACACACTGTTTGAGGCAATAAATAAAGAATGCTCCTTACATCCTCAAAGCTCTAGTCATGGGAGTCATGGACCAAGGCTGCTTTGAGTGTAGAGGAACTACACAGGGGGAAAACATTTTCTCAAAGACTAGACTAATAAATAGATACAATGAAACAATTATTGTAAACTAAAATAAAATCTTAAGCACCCCAGCTGACTGAATGGACCCGGACTTGGCCAAGGGGACTCCAGAAATACCCTAACGCTGAGTTGCTGCCCATGAGGAGAGGGGTCAGACATGCCTCATCATGTCCCCTCCCCTTCTTGGTTTATAATTCATTAACAGGCCTAAGGCTATACAAGACAAAGCTTAAACTATACCTGCAGGTCATCAATTTACTTAATAGATCACTTGAGTCTGGGTATATGTCCAGTGGCTTGTCTCTGATTAACAGACTTCCTTATCTTAAAACACTCTTAAGCCCTTCAGACAAACCTTCGTTTCTTTCACCAATCACAAAGCAAAGAATCTTTAAATCCACCTATAACCTGTAATCCCCTCCTTCAAGATGTCCTGACTTTTCAGGCCAAACCAATATACATCTTCCAGGTATTGATTTATGACTTTACCTGTAATCCCTGTCTCCCTGAAATGTATAAAACCAAACTGTAACCCAGCCACAGAGAGATCACTTGCTCAAGGCTTCTTGGGCGTGGCTCTCCAGGTGGCCAGAGTCATATATATTCGACTCAGAATAAACCTCTTTACATTATTTCACAGACTTTGAGTTCTTTTCCATTGCCATTATAAAAAAAAAGAATGAACTCAGCTAAAGTTCACTACTCACTTGCCAAAAGCTGCCAAGAACATCTACTAGGTCATTAAGTCTGAAATGTCTGATATCCTTAAG